GTCTTCATCACTCTAAGATTGACAAGGGTAGCAATCACAATCATCGTCTCTTCTTCACTGAAATCTTCACTTGGTTCCCTTGTTTACACTTTCTTGTTGACTGCAGGGCACACATCACCCTTTGCATCTCGTTGGGTTTTGTTGTATCTCGCAATGGGACAGTACATGCAAAAGAACTTTGTCGACCACTGCTCTCTTCCTCTCCGTTGTTGCAATCATTGTTGGCATTTGTTGCAGTCTGCAGCTCCTCGCTGCTCCTGTTGGCAGGCGCTTGCAGCCTTGGATAACTTAGGTGAGGGAGTGGGAGAATTAGGGACATTGTTGAAACTAAAAGAAATTGTAGATATATTCTCCCCAACTTGTGTAGATGGGGCTGCACCATCTACTGACCCTACTTTTTTTATTGATCTTCTTGCTCTGCAGACCCGACCTGAATGCCTCCTACAACCACATCTTATGCACGGGTCGTTCTCTACTCTGTTCATACATGCGTCCTTTGTCACTCCAATCTTTGCCCTACAATGACACCCATACTTTATTTCCTCCTGTTTGGACATGATCATACCCTCTCTGATGTTTCAATGTCCCTTGTTGCCGCAGTAGTTGTTTTCCTCTCACTACTTTTGTTAACTTTTGTAGAGTGTTAAGGCTTGGCCAGTTTTGCACTCCCTGCAAACAAGATTCTTGTCTCTCCTCTCTCTCCTTTCGAGGGTTCTCTTTTGTCTAATCCTTTGAACTTCCTTAACTGTTGTTGTCAGTGAAGTATGTCCACCGTTAATAACTCGTTATGATATCACTGAGTTCTCCTCCTACGCACAAGATTGAGCTCGTCGTTGTCCTTCATCGGCCTGTTGGTCGCGGTTGTCCCTTCAGCTGAGTGTGGTGCTAAGTCGAATTTTAAAGCCCCGTTGCCATTGTGCAATAAGTCCTCAGCTCCTTGCATTGGGGACCCAGGTGCCTCGCTATCCTCTTTGGAAGGGCCCTAAAAAATTCGTACATAATAGGTCTTTCATGATCTCCACTCCCGATGTCTGCAACACCCGAATTAGATCCTGCACGCTATCGTGGCAAGTCTGCGTGGAAAGGTCATCATATAGAGTCCATGCCCGGTCTTGACGTCAATCCAATCTTAGTTAGTCAGCTAGTTGAATTACCAATTGAACATAACAAGGTGTAGCGCGGTCTGATAGCGCATCTGTTTTGGGTACAGAGGGTTATATGTTCGAATCCTGTCACCTTGAGTCAAAATCAGAGGTAACCGGTGTGCATTGCTCCCTCAACTTTTGTGAGAACTTTGGCCATGTTGTACGCTTGGCGTACTCAACAATCTCTCCATCGACCTGTAACACTTTGTTGCCCGCCCATTCCCTTGCTGCATCCAACATTGGAGGGAATGGAAAATGAATTTTGTGTGTGTCCCTTGTGAGCTTATAATAGTCTAGCTGCATGTAGACGGCGCACAACCAAGCATCTGCATCCTCATCCTGTCCGCCTCTAAATTTGGGTGGCACCTCCAGCTTGGACTTTGATATTCATTCCCCCTCAGTTTCCGCTTTTGTAGTCTTCATGGGGGAAGGATGCGGTGTGCTTGGACTTGCCTGACCGTGCAGCTTGGCCACAATGGTGGCCAGGTTGCGACTGATGGACGTCATGTCCTTCTTCAATGTGACCAGTTCAGCATGAGCAGACTACAACGTGGGGAGAGAGAGAACCAATCTATCTCCCACATCAGCAGTCTGCTCTGCCACGACCTGCTTGGAGTCTGCTATGCCTTTCTTTGTCCTTTCCTCTTCCTCCTCCTTTCTCAACCTCTCCTCCACTTGCACTCTCTTTGCACAAGCTCATCCTTTGCACTTGTCGTCATAGCTGGTTTCCCCTTTGAGATCCTCTTCTTCTTTTCAGGGATGTACGACCACAGATGCAAGTTTGGCCATTTTCTAGCTTTGGAGCGTGTGAACTTGTGAACATGAATGTCATCCGCCTGTTTTCCAACTACCTCCCTCTAATTCAACTCCCCTGTTCTGTTCGTATTTTCCCCAGCTATTATCTTTGCGATAAACCATGCTAGATAAGGTACAACATGAAGTAGGTAGATGCCCACTGGTGGAAGGTAATTGCTGGCGTGGCACTGGATAATATGTCAAAGATGGTGTTGTGGCAGCTTGGAGAACCCAATCATGTGGCCGATGTCCAGATTGTTGCCAGCTGCAATACCAGTGTTAGGAATTTTCCAAACCTCAACTTCTTCCAATGCGCAGCACACAAACAAACTGAACTGAAGACAAAATCTTCAAAACGACAATTGGTAGAAAGCTTTACTCCCGTCCTTCGGGACATCCGTTAAAATTGGAACGATACAGAGAAGATTAGCATGGCCTCTGCGCAAGGATGACACACATAAATCGAGAAATGGTCCAAATTAAAAAAAAAAAAAACACTTTACTCCAGGGTTGTATTGAACAATCACACCAGCATACTTGATAAAAAGGGGAAAAAGGTGATGCCAATTGGGTGCCAGGCTGCACTGAGCAGCTTACGACAAACATCACTCAAAATTGTGCGTTCACCTTCAGCTGCAAAGATTGGCGCTGCTCCATCTCGTCACTCCACAAAAAAAATCATGAACTGAAACTGAATAAATTCTACTCCTAGATCGTCACTTTTTATTTTGCCAAATTTGCCTGGGCCTACAGGGTGCTACCCTGCTAGAGAGTTCTAGACGTCTACGCCCTAGGTCCTATGTATCCAAGAGCAGCTCACAGTATATGCTTACTTGGAGGTCCCAGGTTCCAATCTGACCGGAAGCAAACTTGGAAAAAAAAAAAAAAAAAAAACAGAAACACGGTGTTCTTGCTTCGCACTCGGGTCAGGTCTCGGTTTCAAATCCCCCTGAGCCCAACAAGTGACCTTGAATCTCCCAATTCAAAAAATGGGGAGGGACTTAAGGCTGGGTGATGATGCAGTCTCCAATTTCCATTGATGACTCGCCTGTGGTGAATAGGATATCGAGTGATCTTGCTCAGAGCAGAGGAGGAGCCATGTCCAGGAGGCTATGTTTTCTGGCAAAAGAGGAAAAGAAGAAAAGAAGGAGTTCAGTACTTGGGTCTCAGTAAAGAATAGAGAGCAATCACCTTGCAGATCCCATTCCCTGAGCAGTTGGTATAACTGCAAGGAGGATCACATGTCTGTCCACTTAAGCTCACGTTTGTTGTGCAGGAAACTAATACATCCGGCTTTTTAAGATTGTGGCAGAAGGTGGAATCCCCTGCGCGTCCTTGCTCGCTCACACACTGACATTAAAAAAAAAAAAAACATTAAAGATTTGGCATGCAAGACAAGATAAAAGAGATAAGTTCAAATTTCAGTCATTCAGTGATCAACAGATCCCGTACAACATTTGTGGAAGGGTGGCTTCAAAAACAAGTACCCCTGGGGCTCTGCCAAAACTTTCTATCAGGTCCACGCCACAAATGTACCCAGACATCTGCACTCGAGAAAAAAAAATTGTGGTGACAACACGTGATATGTACACATGTAAAATGTATATTAAAATATTTGTTCATAATACTTCATATATCTGTTTTTTTGTTCTTCTTTTTTAAAAATCTAGACCATTTCTCGATTTACGCATGTCATTCTTGTGCAGGGGCCATGCTAATCTTCTCTGTATTGTTCCAATTTTAACGGATGTCCGGAAGGACCTATTTGTTCATATATCTAATGTACGTACATACTACACATACATCCTTAAACAGAAGTGCACCGTAGGTAGAGAGGGAGAAGAGGACAACAGACGAGGGGCTGTGACAGACCATTTCGTCAGAGTTTCACCGAGTCATCAGGAGCCCAAACCCTCTACAGACAGTCTGCAGAGTCCCCTAACCGACGATACTGGAAGTGATAATCCACCTTAACTCCAGTTGCGGTTAAGCATCAACGACTGCCAGACAACTGATACCCTGAGGTGGGCACAAGGTACCTGTGACGAAAATCAAAGCAGACTATATCACTCACCCACACCAGACGGAAAATTCCATAGATTGCAACACCCCATCACAAACCACCCAGACTACCATGAAACAAAGAAAGGCCTGTCACAGCCAGGAAATACACTCCACACACACTGCTGGCACTAGAGGCACATATTTATATTCTATAGGCAATATATATACCTGCAACTGGAGTTAGACCACCAGGGTGTTCAAACGAGCCTAAGTTGACGAAGCCACCTTCCAAGGCTCGCGATCCTGCAACTGCGCCTTTTTCAAAGTGGCCTGGTGCTTTTGCTACCGGCCCAGGCCCGAAGTGGAACAGGCTTACCACGTTTAGCGGCAAGGCCACAACTTTGGCTTGGGTGAGCTGGTGGTTTACAGTGGATCATCAATTTGCAGAATCACTGGTTAGGGGACTTTTCAGACTGGCAAGGGTTCATCCACCTGATGAGTCAATGAAAGTCCGACAAAAAAAACAGTCTTTCATAGCTCTCAGTTTCTGGTCCTTTTCTCCCCCTCTGCCTATTATGGTTCGCCGGCCAGTCCTAAGTGGCCAAATACGTGCAGAACTTCACTAGCCTCCTGCAATGGTTCCCACAGGTCAGATTGAGCGGCTATTGCCAAGGCCATAACAACATGGTTATGCTTTACCTTTAGTGCCAGCAGTGTGCCTGGAATGCGCTTTCCAGCTGTAGACGTTGCTTTGTTTTGTGGACCCTGTGCTGGCTTTTGAGGGTGGTGTGAACCTAGGGTTTGTGGTGTCTTCCATCAGGTGCAGGTGGCTGATAATCTGCCTCGAGTTTTGTTACATACACTGGAGGGAACAGCTGGTGCCCACCTGCAGCCGGGGTACGACTTGTGCGGCTGTGGTTGGTGCCTACCCACAGTTGACGCACAGTTGAGGTTAGGGTGGATTATCACTTTACAAGTTTACAGTATCATTGGCTACTTGACTGATCAGACTGTCGATGGGCCAGCCTCCTGATGGGTCGGTCGAAGTCCACACACCTGTCTGTCATAAGAGCATGCTCGCACGCTGTAAAAGAGTTGACCAAGTCAGGGGAGTCAGTAAGGGTAGACACAGTGAGTGAAGAGAGAGCGAGGGGAGTCGAAGTAAGGAAAAACAGACATTACTCTCATGAGTTGGTTGAAGCGTAACGAAACAGCCAGTCACAGCCCTCTGTTTTTTGGTCTATCATAACAGCACACTTGCATGGGACGCTGGGCCCGGTTTCCAGCAGGTGTCACTCCCCACCAATAGATGGAGCAGCCCAGAAGATAAGCCCTCGATTCTGATGGTTCTCTTACCACCATCGGGATGGAGAGCTTACACAAGGGCTATTTAAAAAAAGAAAAAAAGAAAAAAAAAAAAAGGATTGACCAATCAGGGGACACAGAGTAAGGAGGGAAGACACAGGAAGGGAAGAGAGAGTAAGGAGAGGCAAAGTAAGGGAAAACATTCAAAACAGGCAATACCCTAATGAGTCCTTGGAAGTCTAACAAAACACTATGTCACAGCCCCTTGCTTTTTTGTGCTTTTCTCCTCTTCTCAGAAGTTGTACCGCTGGCATTCTTCAATCCTCACACATTGTGAACCCACTGCATGCTTGTCTTTGTCTTTCATGTGAACCAGCCATGTTCACTCTGCTCTATGCATGAGTCCTTGCACCCACTATTTGGCATTGTCCCTGTCGACAAGGCAGAATTAGGCAGTTCTCTGCAAGAATTGGTATTCATTCCATCTCTTTGAGCATGTGGACGGTCGTCGGTCACATCTATAAGGCCTTCTGAGTATGCTCCTGAAGTCATCGACTGCCATGAGACATGAAACCACCATTGGGGTTACACGGAACTTACACCCATACTGATACATTGCGCTCCTTATCCATTCTGGGGAGCCTCAGTCCGGTTCCTATTCCACCAGCAAGTCACGGAAAGTAAATCATGTACACACACATACGCTTCTCCCCATTATGGCTGAGAGACCCGAGTGGGCAGCATTGATTACTTCCGATAGGAAGGATGTACCTCCCCTCACCCCCCCTGCATATGCTAGCCTTCTATGCTGTCTTTTTTCTTTTCCTTTCGGGTCTATATTTGAGCACTTGCCTATATTCATGTACACAGTGTACTACACACATCATGATCTGATCTCCCCATTCTTCTACACACATCATGATCTGATCTGGCTCAATATAGGCAAATACATCACGTACACACACTTCTCGCCAACTCGCTCGTCTATTTGCTTTTCATTTCGGCTCTATATTTGTACCCTGCTCTTCATGAGAATTATCCCCTCCAGCTCCTCACAGCTATTGTTTGCTGTCTGATAAGCAAGAGAACCTGGAGCGGAGTCTTTTCTGTTTCTACGGACTCTACGGAGTAGGGTTTCCACGCTGCTCCTTTCTGTTGTTTTTTTTCTATCCCTGTTTCGACCCTCTTTACTGTCTCTATTCCCTGATCTGATCTGGCAGCTTAATGGTTTGTCATAGGAAGGATTGTCTGTCAGTTCTTGTCCGTCTTGGTCTTCCAGAATTGCTGTTCGGATTCTGTCTTATCCTCCCTGTCCTGCCTCTCCCAGCCTCCCCTGGGCTACGCCCTACTATCCCTTGCCTTAGGTTCGGTTCTCCTTTTGTATTTAGAACCTTTTTCTAAGTAGTTATGCTTATTAGGAGGATTGTTTCATTTCTCTTTTTGTCTCTTATCATTCCACGTCCATGGATTGGTCCTCCTCCTGTTCCGTCACTGTGCCTTCCAGGCCATCATCAGCCACAATTATGTTGGGTTTTTTTTTTTTTTTTTTTTTTTTTCCCTTGGCTTTTTCAGGCCATCTGCTGCCACACTTCAGTTTCAGCGGAGGCTGGTGCCGGTACCTCCCTCAAAGAAAGCAACGATGTGCACTGTAGACTGCAGGCTCGGGAAGATGCAAATCTTGGTTCGACAATTTTGTTATGAACTTGGTTGTCTGACAATTTGTTTGCCACTCACACACAGAAGAACTCACACACGCCCATACATGCATGAGACAAAGCGGAGGAGGAGACAGAGTCCAACTGCACACAGACCAGAGATAAGCAGCGGAATAGCAACCATGCAGAGAAGGGTAGAATACACTCAGTGTTTCACTCTCTCTGACACACTCCCAACAACCAATCACAATATGACACTGCGAAGATCACAATTGGAATATAACACAGATGATGAGCCAACTCAACTCCATTAACCCAAATTATCGTTACAGAGTTCAACCCCGTGTCTCGCCACCTCAGTACCACACACTCCACTCACTACTCCACTCCCAGAGTCTAGCGCTGCACTGAAACAGCCTCCCAGAGGCCAGCGCCAAACACCCAGATGTAGATCATGAACAGCGAGGTAGTCCCCAGTGCCGATGAGTCACTCTGACGATGAAGAAGGCAGCTAGGGCTGCCTGGCTGCTACCGCAGCAGCMGTACCCACATGTACCCAGTGAAGAGCCTCCGATTAGTCCTGCCAGGCGCAGATATCCCCRGGGGATAGATGCGCTGAGACCAGCCCCAGCTATGGCTGTCTCAGGTAGGCCGGCTATGGCTGTCTCCCTCCGCTGAAGTCTCAGGTGCCGCCGTAGACCTTCAGCGCTGCACAACTTGGTTGGCCCCCAACGCTGCACGCGAAAAAAAGAAAAGCCAAAAGTCCCCAATCGGTGTCCTCCCCCTACCTATAGAATCGCTAGTCTAACCTAGACCTAGACCAGACTGACTGACTGACCGGTACCGTTGCTGTTTCGGCCTCTCGGCCTCTGCTGGACCCGGCTATAGGCTATAGGACCGTCTAGCAGAATAGGCCACTGAGGGCCTGTCTGTCCTTGGGGTAGCCCGGGCCTGCTGTAGGCAGTTAGGGTAGCTATAGAAATTCGGGTTAGTCCTCACAGGCAGGTCTCTCGGTTAGCCCTCAGCCAAACAAAATTACAAAACTAACCCTACGGTTAGTGTACAGCCTCACAGTGAATCTCGGCAGCAGAAATCAGCAAGTCATTGCAGGCTTACCCTCCCGGGAGCGAGGACCTCCGAGCTAGGGGTGTAGGCGGGATGAACGGCGAAGGTTACCCTTCTGGGCCGCTTCATAGCGCCGAACAATAGACTTTGCTGTCTTGACCAGGTCCTTCCTGTAGAACCATCGGCTCTCTGAAGGTGGCTGGAACGCGAACCTGACAAGATACTGTCGATCGGGGCCTGTGCCCCACTCATCCTCAATTCGGTCAATGTCGTATCCCTTACCAGGGATTGGTGGACCGAACTGAGGGGGCCGGTCGGGGAAGGCATCAGCTGGAGTGAAAGGCAGCAGCTTGGATGCATGGAAGACCGGGTAGGTACGTAGATGCAGCGGGACGTCGATGACATACGACGGACCGAAGGAATCAGCGCCCACTGTATCTAGGACCTGCCATAGACCCAGGTAACGTGGCAACAGCTTGGAGGAGATGTCCTCCTCCCTCGACAGCTCAGAGCTGGCCACCCAGACATGAATACCAGTGCGGATGGGGGAAGGCCGCCTGTGGCGATTAGCTTGTTCAATCATAGCCTTTTGGGCTTTGAACAAGTTCGTGCGGGCTCTTTCCACATCCAGACGATAGCGTCTGGCGAACTCTGTCAGATCAGGCTTAGCCTTATCGATGATATCATCGAGAGGTTGTTGTGGTTCACGTCCCCAATGTAATCGGTAGGGACTGAACCCTGTCGAGGAGTGGACAGACATGTTATACATGAGCTGTGCCCTCGCTAAGTGGAGATCCCAGTCCTGTTGATCTGGCGAGATGACAGGCCGCAGCAGCTGGAATAGGACTTGGTTCATCACTTCAGCCAATCCATTGGCTTCAGGATGACGACCAGAAGTCATGTCCAGACGTGAGTGCAGGTAGTCCTTGCAATAGGACTGCCACTCATCGCTGCAGAATCGGGGATCTSGATCGCTGACAATAGAAGTGGGCGGTCCATGGTGCGTGATCCACCTCTCAGAAAAGGCTGCTCTCACAGCCGGGACCCTCGCCACCTCTGGTAAGGGGATGAACTCTGCGTATTTGGAAAACCTGTCAACGCAGACCATGACCTGATGCATGCCGCGAGGGGTGGTCTTGCCTAAGTCTGTGAAATCAATAGAGACAGACTGTGCAGGACCATCAGGTATGGGCAAGGGCTTGAGCAGTCCCAGAGGAGGTTTACGCTAAACCTTGTTCCTCTGACATAGCTCACAGGTTTCCACATAACGCAGCATATCACTCCGCATCTCCTTCCAGAAGAAGCGTTGCGACAGGGCTGCATACGACTTTAAGAACCCGAAGTGTCCACGCGCATCGTGGCACTCTGACATCAGCAGTGTCCTCAGCTGCTGATCCTCAGGAATACATAAGTGCTCCTCTCCTCTGCTGTAGGTGTACAACAGATCTGAACTCATAGCATAGCCAGGTTCAGAATTGGGATCTGCTTGTAGATTCCTGATGATGGGTCCATAAGTCGGATCCTGAGGCAGTAGGCGAGTAATGGTCTGACGGACCTCCTCTCCAAAGGAGTGAGTAGAGGAGATCAGCGCAAAAGAATCAGGCCTACGAGAGAGGGCGTCTGCTACTTTGTTGTAACAGCCCTTCTTGTGCTTCAATTCAAAGTCAAACAGATCGATGAACTGAATATAGCGTGCCAATTTGTCATTCAACTCTCCCTGGGACTTCAACCACTGCAAAGTGGAATGATCAGAGATGATCTTGAAGTGCCTGCCCAGGAGAAAGTGTTTCCAATGTTTCAGGGCATTGACAAGAGCATATAGCTCTTTCTCGTAGGTAGAGTCCTGAAGCTTCTGAGTCTTGATCTTCTTACTCATGAATTCAACAGGTCTCAGACCATTCCCATCATCCTGCTGAAGTACTGCCCCAATGCCATACTGACTGGCATCAATGGTCAGGACAAATGGCAAAGTGGGGTCAGGTAACTTCAAAACAGGTGCACGAGTCAAGGCCTGTTTGAGTCGTGCAAAGGCCATCTGGCAGTGAAGAGACCAAAGAAAGGGAGTGTCTTTCTTTGTGAGGTTAGTCAGGGGTGCAGCCACTGCAGAAAAGTTCYTGACGAACTTTCTGTAGTARGAGGCCAGACCYAAGAAAGACCGGACATCTCTCACTGTCTGGGGCTGTGGCCAATCCTGAATAGCAGCAATCTTGGCTGCTTCAGGGGCCAGACCATCTCCAGAGATTACGTGACCAGGTAGATGACAGAGGGAACTCCAAAGGAGGACTTCTCCCTGTTAATCTTGTACTGGCTGTCACGTAACAACTGAAGAACCAGAGCCAGGTGCTCCGCATGTTCCCTGGTAGTTTTGCCGAATACCAGGATATCATCCAGGTAGACAACCATAAACTTATCCAGGTACGGCCTGAAGATGCGGTGCATCTCTGTTTGGAATGTGCCAGGTGCATTGCAAAGTCCAAATGGCATAACCAGATACTCATAAGTACCATATCTGGTTTTGAAGGCTGTCTTGTGGACATCCTCCTCTGGCATCTCAATCTGGTGATAGCCAGACTTGAGGTCGACTTTGCTGAAAATGGTGCATCCTTGGACCATATCCAGAAGGTCATCGATCCTAGGAAGTGGCTTTGTACTCTTCCTAGTGATCTTGTTGAGACCCCKGTAGTCGATGCACATTCTGAACTCGCCACTCCCCTTTGGAACAAAGAGGACTGGGGCACCGAATTCAGAAGTGTTGGGCCTGATCCAGCCCTTGCTGGTCAGGGTCTCAAGCTGTCGTCTGAGCTCCTCAAGCTCAGCAGGGGACATCCTGTAGATGCGGCCCTTGGGAGGGACCGCTCCTGGCAGCAGCTCAATGTGATGCTTGGTTGGCCGGTTGGGTAATCCAAAGGGCTCCTGCATCAGATCAGCATACTGGTCGACTACCTGCTGTATCTCAGGAGGACAGGAAGTGATGGGGGCGTCTGTTTGCTTGATCAGAGCTATAAACAGACGCTCATGATCGTATTGGCGTGAGAGAAAATAGAACTCTCTCGCTCTCAGGCAGAAGCAGGAGGTCTTAGGGTGGCGGTCAGCTGCTGCAATCATACATGGTTGATACACCCCCTTGCTGTTTGGCTGCTCAACCTTGGGGATCTGCCAGTCGATCCTTGGGTTGACTGCTTTCAGCCACTGCATGGAGAAAACCAGRTCAAAGGGTAGATCAGGGAATATGTAGAAGCTCAGACTGTGTCTGACTTCTGCATCACTGTCGAAGGTCACAGGGATGCCCCTTACCTTCTCCTTGATAGTCAGTACAGTGGAGTCACCTATCCTGACCTGCAGCGGTTGCTGCAGTTGCACCACTTTGATGCCCAGATGCAGTTTTTTGACTGCACTGGGAGACATGAAATTTCGGGTGGATCCACAGTCCAGCAACCCTTTGATTCTGCTGTGATTGATCAGGGGCCGAAGGAGTATGAGATCAGACTTGTTCTTATTTTGCTCCTTCAGATGAAAGAGAAAAGCAGCAAGTGATTGACGCACAGACTGGTCCGGTTCCTAATCCAGGTCAGGATCCTCATAAGTGAAGGATGCTGCCCGCGCAGTCCCCATACTGGGAAGGACACAAGTCTCAACTGAAGCTGCTGCAGGTGCAGCACTGGAGGGAACTGCAGTCTCCAGGTTCAGCTTCAGTTTTTTGACTGAGCTGGTTTAGGCATGTAGGGACAGTCCTTCAGGAAGTGCTGCCCCTCACACCTCAAGCAGACTCCTCTCTCCTTCCTCTTCCTCCACACTCCCTCCTGGATCTTCAGATCATGCCATGGGAGAGTGTTGGGGTTGAGAGGGTCTGTTGGGAAACGAACGTCACGTGGCAAGTTAGGGCGCCGGGCAGTGGTTGAAGAGCGACGTCCCTGGCTCTTCCCCTTGCTGCTGGAGGCTGTGCTGGAGGAAGACCCGGCCTTCTGGAAGGCCCCCAGCGCAGCCTGCAGCTGCTGCATGGCCGCTGCAACATCTGTGACAGCAGCTGCTGCAGTCCCACCTGGCGGTGTACCAGGCTGGGATCCTGCATTAGATGATGACGCAGATCCTGCGTGGGCAAAGGCCGCTTTTCCCCTTCTACCACCGCGAGGGAAAGCGCCTTTCTTCCTGTCACTGGAAGGTGCCTGGACATGAAGTTTGGCCTCCATGTCCAGTGCTGCGCGGCCGAATGACCTCCAATCTTTATGCCCTGCGCTGTACAATGCAACTGAGAACTTCTCAGGCGCAGCCCTGCAAAAGTTAGTTAGCAGATCATCAGCAGACATAACTAATCCAGGGGTGGAGGTGAGCTGCTCATATTCAGCGAAGAGGGCCTGCAGACTGCCGCTGTAACGTTGTTGTCCAAGGCGTACGATCTTGTCAGCAGCCTTACGCGCGCGTTCCTTGTCTGCAAACCTGTCCTCCAGGACCTGTAGAAGTTTATCCACTCCCAGGGCTAGGGCCCAGTCCTCCAATGTTTGTGACTGGGCGCTGGCTGTAGATGTAGCCCATTTTTGGGCTGGGCCCTCCAGCAGCCCCACAACGGTGGCCACTCTCTGCTGTTCTGGGCACTGGAACCCCTTCAAGTAGGCCCGGGTTCCTGCTGCCCAGTCCCCAACATCAATCTTAGGGTCATCGCCCTTAAATTTGTTGGGTGCAGGGATCTTGGGTCCTCGCTGATCCCCCGCAACTACAGCAGCGAAAGTGGGAGGAGATTTGGCTTTAGCCTGGGAGGAGACAGAGGGAGATGACTTGTGGGAACTTTGAGGAGATCCGGGAGGTGAAGAAGGTTGAGAAGTTTTTTTGGGTTTTGGAGAGGGGACCACAGGGACCAAAGGAGTGATCAGGTTGGCTGCTGTTAATTGAGCTGTCAGATTCTGGATAGCATCCAGGATCTTAGACTGCTGAGTTCCCAGGTCGCTTACCCTGGTTTCCAACCGCTGGATCCGCTCATCCCAATTAGTGAAGTGGCTGGCTGTGATTTTGTTCTGCAGAATCACGAGCTCAGCCAAGTACTTTGTACACTGGGCCACCCTCTCGTCAGCCATGGTCTTCTCAGCTTGCTGCAGCAGAAACTCTTTTCTAGAGGCGTCTGTTGCAGCTTCCAACTCAGCCGCCTCCTGTCTCTCTGCCTCTGCGAGCAGCGCCTGTTGCTCTCGCAGTTTTTCCTGAATTTCCCTCTTGCGCCGCTGAGCAGGGGTGAGAGGGAGAGGGGGAGGAGTAGAGGGGGAAGGTTTCTCTTCCTCCTTGACTACTACCTCTACCTTTCCCGCACCTGAGTCAGCTGCGTCAGACATCTTCCCTTTCAAAACAATAAAACAACAAAATTAGACAGCCTGGGATGCAACGATTTTCAATTCCCTCAGACACTCAGAAATCGTTGCACTGTCAGTTCACAGGGTAAGGTGGGTTAATGGGCACAAGCGGTTAGGGTTAGAATACAACCACTGGAGTCAGTAATCAGATTGACAATTAGTCCAGTAAAACCATTCACTAACGATTTCCTTTGCCTGACACTGAACTTTCACTGAAGTTGCAACAGACATTGTCAGTGCATTCCAGGGGTCACTAACATTCTAGAGCCCATCAGGAAACAAAGAAGATTAGAGGTAGTGAAAGATAGAGGCAAGAACCGACTGAAACTTAACAACAAGTAGTAGCGATGCAGTACTCTACACCCTGACAGCCCTAAACTCAAATTTCGCCACTGTTGACATCAACAGAAATACTCACAGATTTTGCGATTTTCAGTATTTCACTGTAATGACTCAAATTCACTAATTATGGGCCAGCGCTTCAGCACAGATGACACACACTGAATTGCGATTCAACCCAGACTGACAAACTTGAATTCTGACGGACAGATTTTGAGTTGTGACTGACCCTAGATAGCACAGACTATTAATAGACTCAGCGCAAAACTCAAATCCACAGTATCCTATTTTTTTCTGTAAAGAATTCACTGAATAAACATACAGGGTGCAGCGCAATACTGTCATACAGTCCCAAAACAATTTTGAGTCAGAACAGGTCAATGAATGGTGAGATATGAGTCAGGGTAGGGAGGAAGAAGATGGATATGGCTGTCTTGCAGTCTGACAATTTCAAAATTGATCCTAAACTAATCGCTACCCAGGGATGTATACGGAACACACTCACTTGAAGTGTTTGATTCAGCGGATGATGAAGCTCAGGCTATGGAATGTTAGTGACCCCTGGAATGCACTGACAGTGTTTGTTGCAAGTTCAGTGAAAGTTCAGTGTCAGGCAAAGGAAATCGTTAGTGAATGGTTTTACTGGACTAATAGTCAGTCTGATTACTGACTCCAATGGTTGTATTCTAACCCTAACCGCGTGCAGCGTTGGGGGCCAACCAAGTTGTGCAGCGCTGAATGTCTACAGCGGCACCTGAGACTTCAGCGGAGGGGGACAGCCATAGCCGGCATACCTGAGACAGCCATAGTTGGGGCTGGTCTCAGCGCATCTATCCCCTGGGGATATCTGCGCCTGGCAGGACTGATCGGAGGCTCTTCACTGGGTACATGTGGGTACAGCTGCTGCGGTAGCAGCCAGGCAGCCATAGCTGCCTTCTTCATCGTCAGAGTGACTCATCGGCACTGGGGACTACCTCACTGTTCATGATCTACATCTGGGTGTTTGGTGCTGGCCTCTGGGAGGCTGTTTCAGTGCAGCGCTAGACTCTGGGAGTGGAGTAGTGAGTGGAGTGTGTGGTACTGAGGTGGCGAGACACGGGGTTGAACTCTGTAATGATAATTTGGGTTAATGGAGTTGAGTTGGCTCATCATCTGTGTTATATTCCAATTGTGATCTTCGCAGTGTCATATTGTGATTGGTTGTTGGGAGTGTGTCAGAGAGAGAGAAACACTGAGTGTATTCTCCCCTTTTGTGCATGGTTGCTATTCCGCTGCTTATCTCTGGTCTGTGTGCAGTTGGACTCTGTCTCCTCCTCCCATTTGTCTCATGCATGTATGGGCGTGTGTGAGTTCTTCTGTGTGTGAGTGGCAAACAAATTGTCAGACGACCAAGTTCATAACAGTTTAGCTTCGGTTGGAGTGGTTTGGTGGAGCATCACCTCACCAATGGGCATACCTCAGTTGGTTAACTGTCGAGTTACAGACCCGTGTTCAAATCTAGGTGCAACCAGATGAACAGAATAGAATACTTCTGAATTATCTTAGGAGTCAGGACCGTTCTGTTCAATGATGATATTGTAAACCACTACGGTAGTACATGGCCCAAGCCTTGCTGTCCAAAACTTATTGCCACAAGAAAACGAGGCCGAAACGTCAAACACTGGGCTCGCCGTTGATAAACTCGATCGGCGGTCGCGTTTTCGTTTTGCACCTCCTGAGTTTGAGGTGTCAGGCCCACGGCCCAGGTGCCCATGTACTGGTGCTTTAAGGTTGTCGCCCCTTTTGAAGGAAAAACAAGGAAAGAGAAGAAAAAAGAAAAAGAGAATCACCTCGACGGCTCTTATCCGCTTTGCACCTTCACATGGCCCCTCACAGCTGCTCCAGGGACCCACAAGCCAACCAACTACCTCACATAGCTGTCCAATCCATCAAACAGGAGAAAATAGCAAGACCGCATTATTTTCAAGAATAGGAGAACATTCGGAAAGGTGACCTCAATCATATGGTCATTGCACAATTTGGGATAAAGATCGTTGTGAGAGCAGTGCACACCAACCCACATACGGTTGGCAAACCCTAAACTAGACAATACCCGTCTATCCTCCATTTCAATTAGGTCCTTCTCACTTTCAAGAAAATACCTACTACATTTGCTATAAGAAGAAGGCAACTTCTTGAGCATTTTGGACGAGAATCACCATCTGAGGAATGCCTTGATAAAAGGCTTTTCATGCGACAACCCTCATTTTCAACCACAAATTGTTATCCACGCTGCCTTCCCGTGCAACAAAGGTGGAGTGAGTATACACTGCTTGATGTCTGGAATGTTGCAGGACGGCACACTTCAATTTTTGTTATCACCTTTGTTTGTGTATGTGTGAGAGAGAGGGGGCGC